AGCTATAAGGCCAGAAAGAGAACTTAAAAGCATCCAAGTTGCCAAAGAAATAAAATGCTTTCTATTTGTAGATGATATAATCCTATACATATCACAAAATCACAAAGACTCAGCAAGAAAATTATTGGCACTCATTGACCGATTCAGCAAAGTGGCAGGGTCCAACAAGCTCAGTATACCAAAATCAGTTGGATTCCTATATTCTAATAAAAACAGCTCTGGAAAGGAAATTAGGAAAAACAAAACCATTTACAATAGCCACCCCAAAGATAAAATACTTAGGAATAAATCTTTCCAGAAAAACGAAAGACCTATACAAAGAAAACTACAGAACACTAGTATAAGAAACCAAAAGAGACTTACAAAACTGGAGTAATATACCATGCTCATCGATAAGAAGACTTAACATTGTGAAAATGTCAACTCTAGTCAAAGCAATCTATGTTATTGTTGTTGTTAAGTGCCATCAAGTTGGTTCTGACTTACAGTATAGGGTTTCCAAGGAGCAGCTGGTGCGTTTGAACCACCAACATTGCAGTTCAAATAGACCTTGCAGCCCAGTGCTTATCTTACAGTGCCACACTAGGACTTTAGATATAATGCCATCTTAGTCCAGATTTCAACATCATTCTTTAAAGAGATGGAAAATCTGTTCACTAGCTTTATTATAAAAAGGAAAGAGACCTCAGATAAGCAAAGTACTGTTTAAGAAGAACAAAGTTGAAGGTCTCTCACTCCCTGATCTCAAAATTTATTACACAGTCACAGTGGTCAAAACAGCCTGGTAATGGTACAATGAAGACACATAAATCAATGGAATAAAACTTAGGACCCAGAAGTAAATCCATCTACATACAGTTAGCTGATCTTTAAATGGGTAAGAGATAGCATTTTCAACAAATGATGCTGGCAAAAATGGAAACCCATTTGCAGAAGAATGCAACAAGACCCATATCTCACACCTTATACAAACACAAACTCAACAGGGATTAAAGGCCTCAACATAACACCTAGACGTATAAAGATCATCAATGAAAAAATAGAGACAAACTTAGGGGCTCTAATTCATGGCATAAATACACTATTAAACATTACTAAAAACACACAAACAGTAGAAGACAAAATAGATGACTGAGACCTCCTAAAAATTAGACATCTATGAGCATCAAAAGATTTTAACCAAAAGAGTGAAAAGGGAGCCAACAGATGGGAAATCTATATATACATAAATTTTTTTTAAAGTTTTTATCGTGAATTATGTTATAGTTTACAGGGGAGAACACCAGCTTTACATTCATCCTATTGTATTTTGTTTCATTGCAATGATTACAA